CTAGAAAAATGCCAAAAATCATTGTCAAGTTCTACTTGAGTTTAAGACACTAAAAACATGGCTTGAAATATGATTAAGCAGCCTGAGCTGGTGCTTCCAAGGAGCTGTTTTTCAGAAAGCACAGGAGGCAGTCGTTCTGAGAAGGATGTGTGCCAACAGTCACCAAGTTCTAGGGTACTCAGTTAATTATCACTGGCCAGGGAAGCTTAGAGCTTACAGCCCAGTGATAATGTGAGGGAGACCACGGCTTTATTCTCCTGTGGGCGAGTTAGTTTGTGGCCATAGGCTATGTACACTAGAATCTTGCAGTTCTGCAAGGGGCAGGTGAGAACGAGTGGAGCGATGAGCATAGATCCTTCATAGATTCTAGATAAACACCACCAGCACAGACCGTGCTTGTAGGGAGCTAATCATCACTGAACTCTGATTAGAGTGATTAATAATAAAAACAATTACAGAAACTCTCCTATGACTGTATTATCTGTGGCACTTATCAATTGCTGGAAGCAAGCTCGTTTGAGGTGATTCAGATAGAAACATAGTATTGATAATATCCTGTGGTTCTTAAACAGAAAATGTAACTTTCCAAAGAGGAAAAAAAAAACCCTCATTCATTTAATAGTCGGCTGTGTGGATGTATATGGCTTTACGATGATAATCAAAAAATTTACCACTGCAAATAAGGAGATCAAGCAGAAAAGATGAAGGAAAGGAGGAAAAGGAGGGGTAGGGTAGGAAGGGGAGAGGGAGGTAAGGGGCAGGGAAGGAATGGAAAAGGAGGAAGTAAATATATTGATTAGCCACTTAACTCTTGCTAAAAACGGCCCAAAGGGCCGGCACCGCGGCTCACTAGGCTAATCCTCCACCTTGCGGCGCCAGCACACCGGGTTCTAGTCCCAGTCGGGACACCGGATTCTGTCCCGGTTGCCCCTCTTCCAGGCCAGCTCTCTGCTGTGGCCAGGGAGTGCAGTGGAGGATGGCCCAAGTGCTTGGGTCTCTGCACCCCATGGGAGACCAGGAGAAGCACCTGGCTCCTGCCTTCGGATCAGCGCGGTGCACCAGCCGCGGCAGCCATTGGAGGGTGAGCCAATGGCAAAGGAAGACCTTTCCCTCTGTCTTTCTCTCTGTCCACTCTGTCAAAACAAACAAACAAACAAAAAAAACAAAAAACCTGTCCAAAGGAACAAGAAAGCTGTAGAACGTTTCTTAAGCAGCATTCGAATCTTTCACTTAGATGCCTGTATCTCCACTTTACAGTCTCTCCAGAAGGATCTAAAGTCATTCCATGGAACTCTCGGGTGCTCCGTACCTAGAGGCTAAGGGCCGTCCTCCTAGCGAGCTGGGCAATGTTGCCTTTGCGCACTGAGAGATGCTTTCTCTATGATCCTGAAGAAGAGAAGAGGGGCAGAAGGAACTGGGCCCTCCCACCCTACACCTCTCCCCAGCCCTTCCAGGTTCTTCCCAGCACACACTCTCTTCCCAGGGCTCTAATTACCACTTCAAGACATTCGGGAGAAATAATCAGGAATTTTAACTCTGGTGGCTTTGAGGGGCCGGATGGGAGTGTACAGTCCATGTGAGTGACAACAGGGCGGCCATGGCACAAAGGCCATTTGATGACTGCATGCCTCTCTGCAGACAGAACAGAAAAAGAGACCAGGGCTGTAAGTACAAAAATGCGCAGTATCTATGGGAAAAGCATGTAGAATTTCAAGGAGCATCGTGATATTTTCTGATAGCTCATCTCCCAGTGTCACACCATGAAAAGTAATCAAATGTCTTCCAGTAAGAGCTAGGCTTACCTCCCAGGGGGCAACTGGGTGGCAGCTCTTGGGAGGGACCTGAGACCTGCTGGGAGTTCTCCCTCAAATCTGGGACCAACCCAGCAGGGGGTTGGTGGACATAGATACTCCTCTGGATTCTGAAGTCTTTTTAGAGAACTTTTGATGAGAGACAATTAAAAGAGAGACACGTTGATACCGTGTCCTGCATGAGACAGCTGGGACATGAGGCCAGCTTCTCTAACAGAGCATGGGCCGGGAGGGGGAGGAGGTGGAGGCACTCCCAAAGGAGCTGCTATTGATTTTACAAATTGCTGCCCGGGAGTGGAGGATGCCAAAATGAAAGGAGGGCTCTTGAAGGTGAGTAGAGGGGAGGGAGTGGCACAAAGACCAACTCCAGCGAGGGCCCAGCTCTGCCTACGCCACGCGGACGACAGCACTGCTATAAAGAGTTAAAAACTTGGGCTTATGAGGAAGCCATAGCTCTACATACTTATGCTAAGTTTCCTTAAATTTAAGTGTAAGGTTGTGTAATCAATAAGCAATTTAGGACATATCTGATGTAACTAAAAAATGAAATCTTCGAACCTGATTCTGGGCAAATGGATATATAATTTCGTTCTTAACACTGGTCCAATCCAATTTAACATAGAGAGAGAGAGAGAGAGAGAGAGATGCTCTGGGAACATCTTCTGAAACACTGACAAGGATAATATAAATTAAAAATCAGAAAATGTAAGATTTCTTGGTATAATATACACCAACTTAATCCTTATACTATCATAAATATGTTTATACTTACTTTAAATATCAAATATAGTATTATGAAACCAAAACTTCTCTGATGCATGAGAACTGATGGAAAAACTTCTAAAATATCCTTAGGTAGCTATGTCTTTGAGAGGTTTTTCAGGACTATGAAATAGAACTAATATATAGCTGTCTATCATTTAAAAAGCAGTTTCTACACACCAGGCACTATGTGGCAACAGAAGTACAATTTCACATCTTTCTCTCATTGAATCACCATGGGTAAGTCTTGCCACCTTCCCTGTTTTATGAAAATAACATTCAGAACATGAAGGTCAAATGGTCATTGAGTGCCTGAGCCCGAATTCCATCTCAAGATTTCTGATGGGTCCTTTCCTGCCTGTTGCACCCTTTTTATTTTATTTTTTTTTATAATTTTTTGAGAGACAGAGTCAGAAAGAACAAGACAGATTCACAAATATCAATTCATCTGATGCTTTGTAATCAAATCTGTTTTAATCCTGTTCACCACATTTGGTTTGGATTTACTTTTGGCAATAAATTCCTCCTTAACAATGATTTGCCTACAATGAAACCATTCTTAAGACAGGCTGGCAAACTCCTAAGGGTAATTTTTACATAGACAGGAGGAAAGACAGTAGCTCTGCGTAAGTAAATAGACTCTTACAGTACCTACATGGGAGAGGGACAGCATGCGTTTAGATTTGTATTTCTGAATTTTTATCTGGTGGGAAAAATCTGGATTATAACTTCTCCTGTTCTCATCCCTCTAAGTGAGCAAAAGTTAAGAGTTTCAGGACGCACTATAACAGATACCTGAGGGAGGATGCTGGAAACACACACTCCCCATCGCACGTCCATTGTCTGGCTCTTAGGAGCTAGGGAGCCCTGGGGAGGTCATGTCATCGGTTAGCTTCAGTTTTTAAAATATGTAAAATGGAAATAGTACTTGTCTAAAAGGTTACTATTTGAACAAGAAGAAATAAGGTTTACAAATCAATTACTAGAGTCTGACAAATATCTAGTGGCATTTAGTGTTAGACACTTTGAACATATTTACTGCAACCTACATTTTACTAATACGGTATTATTTTTGCACACATGTTCTAAACATCATTGTTTTATGAATATTATTGATTTGAAAAAATTTCACTGCAAATTTAGTGAAAAAATAAATAATAATGGTCCATAGGAAAGTAGGTTTTTTTTTTATGTATTTGACACAAAGAATGTGTTAGTGAAACTTTAAGATTTATTTATGTATTTGAAAGGCAGAGTTAAAGAGAGGCAGAGGCGAGGGGGGGGGGGGTCTTCCATTCGCTGGTTCACTCTCCAGATGGACACAAGGACCAGAGCTGTGCGGATCTGAAGCCAGTAGCCAGGAGCTTCTTCCAGGTCTCCTACATGGGAACAAGGGCCCAAGCACTTGGGCCATCTTCTACTGCTTCCCCAGGCCATAGCAGAGAGCTGGATCAGAAACAGAGCAGCTGGGACTCAAATTTGTGCCCATATGGGATGCTGGTGCTGCAGGCAGCAGCTTTAAGCTACGCCACAGCGCCGGCCCCAACAATATTTTTTTTAGATTTATTTATTTATCTAAAAGAGTTACATAGAAATAGAGGGGTGGGGGGAATCTTCGATCTGCTGGTTCACTCCCCAACTGGCCGCAATGGCCGGAGCTGTGCTGATCCGAAACCAGGAGCCAGGAGCTTCTTCTGGGTCTCCCACACAGATGCAGGGGCCCAACCTCTTGGACCATCTTCTACTGCTTTCCCAGGCCATAGCAGAGAGCTGGATCAAAAGTGGAGCAGCTGGGACTAGAACTGGTGCCCATATGGGATCCTGGCACTGCAGGCGGCAGCTTTACCCACTATGACACAGCACCGGCCCCCACAATATGGTTTTAATCACTGACTTTAGTTTAAAAGTTTTATTGTGTTTTACTTTTAATTCTCACCATATTCCAAAGTAATTTACACAAATTCCATCTGAAACTATGAAAATTCTCTCCCATCCTAGCAAATTAGAATATGGGTTTAATAATGTATCTCCTTGTTTTTAAATCTACTTTTAGAAAGTATCTATTTATTTATCTAAAAGGCAGAGTTACAGGGAGAGAGAGAGATATCTTTCATTTGCTGGTTAATTTTCCAAATGTCCATAACAGCCAGGGCCGGGACAGGCTGAAGCCAAGAGGCAGGAACTCCATCAGAGTCTCCCATGTGGGTGGCATGAGGCCAAGCCCTTGGGCCATCTTTCGTTGCTTTCCCAGGTGCATTAGCAAGGAGCTGGATCAGAAGTGGGACAGAGAGGATACGAATCCACACCTATATGGGATGCTGCTGTTACAGGTAGCGGCTTAACCTGCTGCTCCACAACACCAGCACCTCCTTGTTTCTAAATCGATATAAAACTGTGATGTACTGAAAGTACAGTAATCTATACACAATATTGCCTTCAAGAAAAGAAACTTTCTTTTATTGGGTTCAAAATTTGGGGTTATAAATAAAATGATTAATAATGGTTAAAAATGATGTTTTAACCTCTCATTGAAGCGTAGAGGAAACAAGTTACATTTTTTCCTGTGGAAGCTTCCTTCACTTCTTTCTAGATCCTTTGATTTAGTGTTCTTCATAAGAAGTATCAGCGTGAATACGTTAAACATTTTTATTAACATTCTGAGTCCCTCCCCCATAATACATATTTAAACCAATCATGAAGTCAGTGGGACTCATAACCTCCCAAGTGGCAGCGTATTAAAATCAAAAAATGCTAGCCGAAATAGCTCAGTTGGGAGAGCGTTAGACTGAAGATCTAAAATCAAAAAATGCAAAAACACGATGGCTTCCATTTCCCAAGAAGTGGCACCGGCCCCTAGACACAGCTGCAAATGCTGCCCCTGCGGCCTCAGAGAACTCCTTCTAGGTCTTTCTTGAACGGAATGCTGCAGCAGGCATTCCTGGGGCTGCCCCTTCCAGCAGGCCCCTGCCAGTCCAGTTGCCATAGATGGCCATCCGACATTTGGAATGACATCAGGAGACGATCCGAGCAGGCTCTGCCCTAAGGAATTCAAGCTAGCAGGAGACAGAAGATATCAATGTCTTCTTGGCTGACAACAGCATTCCAAAGGTCAACCAGGGTGAAAAGAGGATGCACTTGGAGTTTCCAGGGCCTTTTTAGCAACCAACCAGCTAACGAGTAGAAGGAAATATCCCTTCCAAAGGGAGCAAAAGAGACAAAGGCGGCCTGAAAGCACCCAGCGGCACCACACCCACGACAACGGGGAAATTTAGGCCCCACGCCCATGAGGTTTTGGCTCTCCAAAGAACAAACTTCAGAACAGTTCTCCTCCTGAAACAATTCCCACCTCTCCGATGACCTACTTCTTGCTCCGGGATGGCCACATGTATAGACGTGGACATTCCTTGCCTACGATTAAGAACGGTTTTCCTGGCAGTTTGGGGAAGGTTGCGTTTAGTCCTCCTAACACAGTTTTGGGGGGAGCACATGATGGCTCCAGTTCACAGATTGAGGAAGTAAGGGCCAGCAAGGCACTGAACCTGTGCACAATCAATCACCCGGTTTCTGTGCAACCGGGCAGCCAGCTTTAGCAGAACAGCCAGCTTTTGGTTGCAGGACTGGCCTTTGCAGTGGTCAGCCAGGGAGAGCCAGAGGCCTTCTCCCAAGCTGGCCAGCACCTGCAGAACCCAAACATTTTTCTCTTGGGGCACTGCATTTCGGGGAGAGTGGGAAACCTTTCTACCACAAACCATGTGCAAACAGTAAATCAATGAGAAATAAAAAGCATAATTCTAATAGGGATCAGTTCTGAACAAGACCAAGCTTTTAGAAACATACCGTTGTTATTATTGAAGTCATTTCTCATCATGGATACTCAACACTCAGGGGCCATTCATGAAGGGTTAAGTTAAAAGCTCATTCCTATAAGAGGGCGGAATTAATACTGACATTTCATCTCCAATTAACAATAGGAAAATATAGAAGACAAACCTGCAAAACAGAAGCTGTTAGAAGTTAGAAAGTGTATGCTTTGTCTTCATTTTCATGATATATTTTTTGTTGTTCTGTATGTCTCAGTATAATTTGCAGTTAAGTTCTGTTTGTGTTATTACCATTTCTAGCTGCATACCACCCTCGTGATGACATCATCAAGGTACCTGAAGATGTTTGTGAATTTGAGGAATTCTAGCCCGCACCAACAATTCTCTCCTCATGCTAACACTGGTCCTTCCTAGTCTTAAGGCTGCTTTTTAGCTCTTGTTTTACAAGGATAATCCCAATTCCTCAGGACTTTTCTCGGTAGAAGTATGGCGTTATCCCAAATAGTCTCTTTGGAAAGGTATTATATGGATGTCTGACAGCACCAATAGTATGGGAGACAGTATCATTCTCCAAGCACCTTACTTTTTCTTAAATGGGATTTCTTCCTGCAGGAAAGCTTAGCACTAAGCTAAACATTTGTAGAAGGGGACTCCCCTCTAAAATCCTCTGTCGGTTCACCTTTCTACAGAGGTTAATGCTGAGACACCACAGGCCGGGTGCCCTGGTCTCAGCTTGCACTGTTCTGGACCTTATCAGGAAATCTACCTTCCGAATGCAGGACAGCGGCTTCTGGGTGTTCCTGAACTTCTCCGGGCCTGACTTCTCTTCCCTGTGTGAATAAATAAATAGATAGATAAATAGGAGGTCCTGGTGTAAGGTGTTCCCCAAGATGTCTCTCAGCAGAAAATTTTGGCAATTCTGACCTGGTAACTCTCCACCCAAATAGTGCCAAGTTACAGAAATACCCACCGTGTCGGAAAATCTGGCTGGCATCAGTCATAATGCAATTCATTTCTCTTTCTCATTTTTTAAACCCAACATTTATTTAAAACTCTATAGCAGCATCACCAGTAGAGCTCTCCCGCCGTGACGGAGACAGCAGCATCCCGCTGCTGGGTAAGGCAGCCGCTTGTGGCTACTCAGCCCTTGAGGCTGGAGGAACGGGGAACTGAATTTGTAGTTTTATTTCATATTCAGGAACTTAAATAGCCACATGTAGATAGCACCTACCATACTGGTAAGCAGATTAGAGTTTCAAGAACAGGGGAACCAGATGCCCTAGGATGCCTTGGAAGCTTAGATCTTCCCTCCACGCAGGGGACAATTCCACAGCCAGATCAAAGGACAGCGCTGGCATGCGCATTCCAGCATAAGCAGGGTACACTTTTGTACTTTGTTCTGCTTTGCGGCCTTTCCCTAGCCAAGACTTGCATGTACATACACCCCCAGGAAGATCAACTCCAAGAGCTGGCAATTAGCTCTCGGTTTTTAAGATTAATTCTGCAGAGCCACAGAGCTTGGGCCTTGAAATCCAGTTCTGGGCGCCTCCTTTCCTATTGGTCAGGTAAAAACCCTTCCAGCGGGCTGGGCGGGACTAGGGCAGCGGCTCCACCCCAGGCTTGCAAATCGCCCTGGGTGCGTTGGGCAGTCAGCGCGCCCGGGGCGGTGGACCGTGGACCGCGTGCCAGCGCTTTCTGTTCCGTGCACGGCTGGGTTTGCTACACTTGGCCACTTTCGCTCACGCAGGTCGCTCGGAACTCAGTCCCAGCTCTTGGGGATCGTCTTTTGCCAACCTATAGGAAACGTTCCTGGGATTCCCAGCCCCAGAGGAGCAGGACCCCTCCCCCGGCACCGCCACTGCCCATTGCCTAAGCCCACCCACCGCCGTGGCAGCCTCCTCTTTTTACCAGGTCTCCCCACAAGCCCTCTTTACCGATAAGCCACCGATAGCCGCCCCCCAAGCTGGGACACCCCGTGCAGCTCGGCGCACCAGGACCGGTGCTCGCCCAGGGCGTACGCACGTGGTGCATTTGTCCCCGCCGGCGGGCAGGCAGGCTCCGAGCCCCAGAAGCGCTCCAGGGCCGGCAGCCCCAACCCCCTCAGTTCCCTCTCCCCGAGCAGAGTGGGTGGTGGGGAGGCAGTGGCTTGCGGAGAGCTGAGTGATCTGGGCGGTTGAGGGGAGGATCGCGGGAACTGGGTGGCGCTGTGGCCGCGGCGCCTCCGGAACGCCCCGCCAGCGGCGCGGAAAAGCTCGCAGCGCCAAGCGGCCCGAGGGATCCCTGTAGCCGGTCTCCGGGAGCTCAGCGCCCGGGGCCGCTGCCATCAGAGTTGTTCTGCTCCCGCCCGGGACCCTCAGGGGCCGTCCCGCCCGAATCCCACCGGCCCGTGCTGCCCAAACAAAAAGTGGACACCAAAGCGCTGGATGAGGTTTTTAACCCCTACTGCCGACCCCGAGTACAGGTTTTTAAAAACGGAAGGGCACAGGTCTCTAGGAGAAACGGTGAACAGGAGAAAGGGCGACACCCATTCCTTGAATTGAGGGTGTCTGGCGTTTTAAGAATCGGGATAGAAGGAGCATTCCGATGCAGATTTAACAAACTGGGAAGTCGTGGTGAAGTCCCACGGAAGCTGGCCACGCGTGTGAGACTCTGGAGGTAGTCACACACGCCAGCCAATGACCGATAGAGCCATTTTTGGACACACTGATACCAGCCAAGGAAGAAATGTATCATCATTTGCAATGGCGTGTTGAAAAGGCTTAATGTATATCTCAGACATGATTTCACAAAGATTGCCTTCCCGGAAGGCGAAAAGGCACTGGGAGATGTGTAGCATGAAGCCCGGTGCATAATAGCAAAACCGAGCACAAGTGGAAGAAGGGGGACTGGCCACTCAGCCTGCTCCTGACTACCAGGCCAAGTTCAAACTACCGTGGACCTCAGCCTAGCAGGCTCCAACACCCTTCAAATGAAACTGGCCAAAACTCTTCCTTCTCCTCGATTGTGAAGCAACCCCTATCCAGAGCTTTTTAAATGACTCTGGACTATGACACACAGGAGAAAATGGACACTGCCCATCAGGTTCTGATAGGTTCATGGCTGGTTCTCTTTCTGGGACTGGTTCCAACCAGAAGCCAAAGGCAGGCTGGTGTGTGTGGAACACTAGTGGAAAGCTGACCCGGAAACCCTGGGCATTCGTCTGCTCAGTAAGGTTCAACACTGCTGGAAGGTCAAGGTGTCAGTGGTAACAGAATTTGAAAACGGCACTGAATCCGCGTGGTTAGCAGTTGCCCTGTAGGCTACATACAGAAGCAGCCCATAGAGCAGCCACACCCACGTTGCGAACACTGCCCAATGTGCCCTATCATGTTAGCTCGTGATGGCTTTGACCTCCCTCTCTGTAATTCATCTAATGTAAAGTTAAAGGTAAAAAAAATAAATAAACCAACCTAGGATCTTTAGAAATGAGATAAAAAGGTATGATTAGATTTTTCCTAGAAACAGCGAGTCCTTTCTACATTACAGATTCTCAATCACAAACAGTCTATATGCTGCCTATGCTATTTGAGCAAAAGCTGCACATAGTGCATTCTTGAAACTTGGGTATTTGGTTCTGCTTATATTAAAGATTAAAAGTATCACAATGGCTCATTTTAGTTCCTTTCTATCCCAAACACAGTGGTTTAAAAATCAGCATTCACGCTGCTTTAGGTAAGAAGTTTTAGGCATCAATCTATTTGAATGTACTTCCATGTCAGCTTTAAACATTCATATGTCTGCTTTTTTGTACTTCCACATTTTAAGGTGCCAAAGAAGAGGTGCAAACTGTGAAGTAACTTCTATGAAGAGATGAAATAAAGAATGGAAGCCAAGTGATGGTGATGGTTAAAAAAAAGTGCACGTGGTGAGTGTTTTTGTTTCATCTTCTCCCACCAAGTAACCACGCGGGTAAGGCTGCCGAGCGCCTTTCCTTAGGTGGCTACACGGTACCAACAGGAAATGTAGTGCTAAAGAGTTAAATCGCCATCCCCTATATGCTCAAAGCTCCCAGCAGCTCTCAGGGCCTGCCTTTGTGAGTGTCTTTTGCAATTAATCCATCTCACAGGAAGTCATACAGATCATCTACAGTATAACTACAAAGAGATTAAAATATACTTAATGCTGTTAGAATGTGTACCTTGGTAGTTTTGAGATTTTTCTGAACTTCCATGTTCCATTATCATGCTTGTGTGCAAGGTATGCTGGCTGAAGAACAAATACCACACAGTGGAATAATCTCGAGGGGTGGACTAATCTATAGCCTTTCTTCATCTCAGGGTGGGTTGCTGTGGCAACCGCCCCAGCTCACTTTAAAATAATTTTTTAAAGCTCACTTCAAGAGCTACACCCAGCGTGGGCCAGGCTTAAAAGCAGGCAGAGCCAGTGCACAGGGCTTTAGGAGACTGCTGCTTTAATGTAGGGAAGTAGTGAAGAGAGGAGCGTGTGGGAGGACAGCAAGCGACTGAGCAGAAACCCGAATATGAGCTTTCCCTGGGGTCAAAATTCCAAGGATTGTGCTCTCCGACTTCTGTGGCACTTTAATTAAATACATTACTAACCATAATCCTTCTGGGGGGGAGGAGGAAATATTTAGTGTATATTTACATTTATAAGAAGGCACTCATGATGATCATTTAATGAAGGCAATGTTTGGTGATTAGACCAAAAACCAGCTGATTTAATAGCCCATCAGCCTGACATCATTTTCTCACAAAGGAAGTGTCACCTTTTAATTAACTGCATAGACCCCTAGCTTCCAATTGATTTCAAAGATAGAAGGCATTTTTTTCCCCCAATCACAGAAGTGGATTAGGTTGGAGCAGTCATTCAGTATATAAGCTAACTGAATTCTAGAAAACATACTTCTATTAGTAAGACTGTTAGGGAATCCAGGTCTCCTAATGCCTACTACAAGCTTGCTCCCTACCTGGGAAAATATTCTGATTTTAGCCAAGTACCAGTAAGTGGTAAAAGATCAGAATGACTTTGGTAGTGAACAGCCAGAGGTATTTAAAGGAGAATACAAAGCACATTCTGGATGAACCAATTTGTGGATTACATATGAATAATTTTAAATTTCAGGTGAGTTTCTAGTATGCATTTCTGCATAACCTCCTCTGTTCCGCTTCAACTATAAAGGCTATGGGAAGGAAACTAATGCTAACATTAACTTAGGCCACACATAATTAGAAGCTAGATCTGCTGGGGGGGTCTTTTATTTCAAAAAGCCAACTGTGATACATTCCAGATCCAAATTATTTTCAAATTAACCACAGTGTGGAGTTCTGCATATTCGCACTATCATTGATAATCATAGGTTTCTTATGTTTATTATCAAATAATACTTTAAAATATGAAAAAGGTAAAATGAAACATTTCTTTTAGAAGGAAAACCAATCTCAAACTAAGTGGTAAATAGAAATACCCTCTATAATCCATGAGAAAAGGCACTTGAAATGCATTGGCTAAGTCCCTTTGCTCATGTCAAACAGGCTGTTACAATTCATTACATCAATTTCAGGCATTATGGCACTAAGCTCACATGGCTCTTCAAGCGGCTTGCTTTGTCAGGAACTTTGTGAATCTTGAAAAAATTAAAATTAATTTCACTCTTACCACCATACATACACATCTCAGTATTCAAAATGCCTATATGCCTTTAAGCAGTTTTTTTTATTTTTCAGTAAGTTGTACCCGAGTGAAAACCTGGTCTAGATGTTCTCTGCCATATTATGAAAATGAAATCATGCTAACAGCCTCCTCCCCACCTGACAACCAGGCAGGTGCATTATGGAGGCTGATCTGCCGGAAGTGCGCCCAGTGGAGATGGGTTTCAATCCATGCCATGGTTTCCTATGACAAGAGCACAGGAGTCCCATAGCTGTTGGGCCTCGGCGCAAACGCTGGCCCACTCCACTGAGAAGCTCTGCAGGCCCATAGGCCCTGCCAGGAAGCAGGTGGCGTTGACACCCTGTCTGGAGGCAGGCTGAGGAAGCCACAGGGAAATGCACCCAGCCCCGAATGTTTATAAAGGGAGGGGGTATCTTTAATTAGCTAGGTACTTTAGTATGCTCCTATTGTCTACTCTTGTGCATCCGACGCTCTCCTATCCCGGTCAGAGTTCTCCCTTCTTCCTTTTGCAGTATTAAACAACTTTAATTTAGTGTCAGCGTTTTCTATGACCCGTGGTCCCTCCGGCCTGCGATCTTGTCTTCAGGATTTGCATCCTGGCTAGGATGTGTTCTATCTTTGGTTTTCTTGGGTGTGGTGTATTTGGCTGGGGCAGCGAGGTGCCGGGTCCTGTGCAGCCTTTTCTACATTTTGGATATTAGCTTCTTTTTTTTGGTAGTGGTGGTGGTGGGGTGGGGAGATGGTGGGAGTGGTGGGAGTGAGTGGGTGGGGAGAGTAGGGCATAAGGCGAAGTGTTTATGGCCTTCCACCTACACAAGTCTCCTTTATCAGTCTCTGGTTCTGTTTCCTGTACAGCTGAAACTCTTCAGGATAAGTGAAGTCATCAGCTATCGGCTAGGATAGCCTAATGCATTTGGGAAGTTGGTTCGCTTTACATGTTGATGACCTGGATCCCGTCCAGCGAGGTGTGCGAGGGACGGGGCGGCGGGGAGGGACCCGCGAGCGAGCCGCAGCCTCGCTCCGGGATTTCCAAAGCGATGGGAAAGTTCACGGCCCCGCGGCGAAGTCGAGATTTCAAATCCTGGTGATTCCTAACTGTCCAGAAACTTTGCGCTCCTGGCGGGCCCTGCCGAGGTCTCAGGGCCGCAGACCGCGCGCTCTGGGGTCGGGGCGGCCCGGACTGTGGCTTGGACGCGCAAGGAACAGCGGCGCGCGCGGGCCGGGGCCAGACCCAGGCTGCTCCCGCGTGTCCAACGCGGGGAAAAGTCAGCAGAGCCCCGAGCAGGGCCGTGCTCCCATTGGCCAAAGCAAAGATCCGACTCGCGGAGGGCTCTCGCCCGGGTCCCCGGGGACCCCGGCCACGGCGCCGCAGGGGGAGGGGGCCCCTGGGCGCGCCGCGCCGGCTTCTCGTTTCCCCGCTCGGGGAAAAACTAAGGTTTGCGTATGGCATGTGCCATTACCCCGCCGTACAACTAAAATTAGCAAAATGTCAGGAATGGGAAGATTGATTCACCAAGATGCAATTATCATTTAAAAGTGCTTGATTGAGGTTCTGATGTTCAGTGATTTATTCTGCATACCATATACATAATTAAAGTAGTGTAGTGGAGTAATTTATCAATCTAGTTGAGACTGGAGGGCTGAGCTGTGAGCTGCTGGATGTTTGTTTTATTAAAACGCTGCGAGGTCTGGTGCCGCCTCCCTCCCGCAACGGCGAGGACTTGGGAGCGGCGGCTGGAGAGGGACGCGCAGGGCACCCGTGCAAGGACAGGACGCGGCGGGGCCCGGGCGGCTCCTCAGGACGCGAGCTGCGTGTGCGCCCCCTCCCGGGACCCTCCCCGCCAGCACCCCCGCCTCGTTACGCGATGTTTCCAAGGCTGCGAGCCGCGCTCCTCTCCCCCTCCGGCTTCTGTCACTTCCTTCCTGGACGCAGTTTTCTGGACGCGCCTGCTTACTTTTAACCCGGCCGGCCTGCGAGCGCCACTTTCCCCTCCTCCTCCTCCTCCTCCTCCTCCTGCTGCTGCTGCCTGCCTCTCCAGTCTCTCCTCCTCCTCCTCCGCGCGCGCCGCCGCGCGCCCCCCGCGCGCGCCGCCCCCGGCCCGCCCGCCGCGCGCGCCCCCCGCCGGCGCGCCCCCGCGCACACCTCGTCTCCAGCCCTCGGCTCGCTCGCAGTCACAGACGCTGGAGCACCCGCGTGCACCCGGACATCTTCGGGCTGCTATTGGATTGACTCTGAGGGTTCTGGCTGTGTGGGTCGCCGGCACTGCGTGTTGGAATCAGGTGGAGCGGCGCTTCCAGGCTGGACGAAGTAACGATCACTGTTGTTTTATTTCCCCCCTCTCTCTCTTTCTTAAGAAAGGAAAATATCCCAAGGACTAATCCGATCGGGGTTTCCTTCATGTAAGTACCTCTGACGTTTCTCCAGGAAATGCAGAGAGCCGGGTGTTGTCTCTGAAATCCGCATCCCTGCAGCCCACCGCCCTGGGTCCGTCTCCCTTTTTGTGTTTTGGGTGTGTGTGTGTGTGTGTGTGCGCGCGTGTGTGGTTTTTTATTTATTTATTTATTCGTGGAGGCTGAAGTTGAGGCTCGTGGTGCCTTCTTTGCTGTAGATTGCGTGATTTCCTTGTCTGGTGCTGGAAGTAACTTTTGAGGGAGTCGTGTGCGTTCTTGCCATCCGCTACGCAAGTCACTCCAGCCTCGTTCCTGTCACCCCAGTGTGTTTAAAGTTTCATGAAGTTAGTTCACGTCATGAGCATGTCGGATATGGTGGATATCACTGTTTCGCAGAAGGTTCTGTGACCTTGGAGACTCCGGGGCGAGTTCACGGTGGGAGATGCGCCCCCGGGGTGCTCCCCCCGAGACCCCGGTGCGCCCTGGGTGCTGCCGTGAGCCACTAATTCCCAGGATTAGTTTAAGCTGCTGCACGGCTGCCTGTCCGGGCTCCCACCCAGGTGCACCTCCCTCCCTCTGCAGGCGCTGGCCGGGCAGAGGGCTTCTCCGCCGGCGTGCACGGAAGAGTAGTGCCCCTGCCCTGGTCGCCTGCCTCTCCCAGTTCCTGTTCAGGCTTCAGGGATTGTCTTAGTGCTTAGGTCCAGCCGACCACATAAGCTGCTCAAAAGCAAACGAGGTGAAGTCACGTAGATTGCCTTCTGCATGGACTTTGGATGAAAGTTACCAAACTCCGTGATAAAGTTTGGCACAAAGGAAGTATCTGCATGGCCACGGCATCTTGTT